CTCCTCGCGCCACCCCGGCCCCGCCCCTGCTCACCTTGCCAGTTGCGCACAGCCTCGGACCCCAGCGACAGGTCCGAGGGCGCCTGAGGGGGCTGGGGAGAGAACAGGCGGGGCCCAGAGACCAGCAGCGAGACCAGCGCCGTGAAGAAGGTGGCGAATGGCATCTCGGGACACGAGCACCAGCTCTGGGAATACCCGGGCCCCGAGGCTGCCGGAGCCCCGGGGGCCGCCATGCTAGTCAGCGTTCCCGCGCTCCGCCTCAGAACCTTCTGCCGCCTGGTGAATGTCTCCCCTGGCAACCGCTGAGGTGCCGGCCGGAAGTTCCGCCTCCTCGACGACCCGCCTTCTCCAAACTGCCCAATCCTGGGCCGCCGATCAGCCTTGGCCGGCTGCGGATATTTGGAGTATCCTGCTGCGTTTCTAAAGCAGCTCTGGGAACCCGGTCGGCTCCGGGGCTGCTTCGCCAGGTTGATTAGTCCAGTTGGGGCTTTGATTCCATCACCCCCGCTCTAGATATCTAATGATATCTGTCTAGGGCCGGGGATTTAGCTCAGTGGTTCTGCCGCCTGCCTTGCAAGTGCAAGGACCCAAGTTCGATCCCCAGTACACAGCACACAAAAAAAGATATCTATCCATCTATGGTACCTTCTGGTCCTCAAAGTCCCATCACACCGTACTCGCCTTATCTGTATTCATCCCATTATATCAAGGAGAAACTGAGTCCGGGAGGGTCCCTGGGTAATACCTTTAAATGGCACGGACTGAGTTAGAAGTTGGGTTCTGCGGCAGTCTGTTACTGGGCTGGATCTGAGGGTAACTAAGGCTGAAATAAGGACGTTACGTCCTTTTTTGTGGAGGAGGGGCGGTGAGACAGTTGAAAAGTGACCTGGAACTCATTATGTAGCCCAGGCTGGTTTTGAACTCACAGCCATCCTCCTGCCTCAGCCTCTTGAGTGCTGGGATTACAGGCGTGCCCTCGAACACGCGCAGCAACCCATCCTTGAAGAATAAATTTATGGGTTTGCAGACTTCCCTCAGGGTAAAAGAATTTTCCCAACGTGTCAGTAAGAGGCAAGAGAAGGGTTTATTCGACAGAGAGGAAGGGGGCTCTGAGAAAGGAGATACTATGAGCCGGAGTTGGGTACATTTAAGGGGGTGTCTTCAAGGTTGTTGATCTAGGGTGTATATTCCTACTCTGTCGCGTTACAGTGCAGGCCATCCACATGTGTTTAAAGTTGAGATCTGCTGTCCATCCATATTGCTGCTTCTTGAAGATGGAGGAAGCACAATTTATAGGTAAAAAGGGCCTAATTTACAGACTTACTGTGTCCTTTAGGACCTTTAGGAATCTCTTTCTCTCTCTCCCTTTTCCACCCTCTCCTGTGAGTTTCCTAGAAGGAGGAAAAAAGGCTTGAGTAACTTTTGTGTCCTGAAGCTGCAGTGTTTCTTAATTACAATTTTAAAATCTCAATTTCCTTGTCTCTTGTTTCTTTTTTCCTACTGCACCCAGAGAGCAGCTTCTGTGGCTGGATTGGAAAGGAAAAGCAGGAGATGGGAGAGGAATTCAGTGAAAGGGACTGAAGAGTTAGAAATGTCCATAGCACTTTAATAATCAAAGCCCATTTCAGCACTTTGTAGTTTAAGAAGTGCTACAGCCTGTGTGGCAAGGGTCCAGGTACTGAGTAGGGCAGTAGGGCGAGGGAAGATGCAGTAAACAAAAAAGAATTAAAGTGGAACTGGGTGGGGCCTCCCTGCCTGCTCCCTGCCTGCTGAGCAGAGAACACAGCAGCCTGTGTATCACTTTATTTAAGGCATGAGGAGGGAAAGTACAAAGAGATGGGGCAAGGTGTCCTTGGTAAGTTGCTATTCTAGTACATTCTGAGACTAGCTGACTGATAAGGCTGGTGGGAACGGAGACATGGGAGCTTGCTGTTCCCAGGATCATGTCAGCGAGGACTACAATAAACAAAGTCCGAGGAACATATCCTTGCACTCCAGGCTATTTCAGCAGGGTAAATAGGGGCACAAAGGGAGGGAAGTCATGAAGGTGCAGGAGGTAGGCAAGACACCTGATCGTGGCCCTTATCCTGAGCTGGCCACTGACAGAGAAGCTCTTTTGACAAAGAACAGCTGTTTCTGGCATGTTGTTTCCAGGTACCCTAGCAGGCGTGACACCCATGGTCAACAGTGGGAAATCAGAGGACTAGGATTTGAATCTAGGTTACCTGGGTCCGAGTTTTATGCCCCTTTTTACTACTTACCTCAAATATGCTTCCTGATACTTGTGTGTAGTACTTTTGACCAGAGACCACATAGACTTTTGAAAAATAAACAAATGCTTCACTCTCTGTGCTGGATAGTCTGTTTCCCCTCAGATCCATCTTGTCCTACATTGTCTCTGCACCGTAGTCCCCACAGTGATTTCTGTTTCTCTCCAGTCTGTGCTCCTTTCAGCCAGCCACTGTCCGCAGCTCCAGCTCTTCTGAGCCCTACACCTCCTTTCTCACTCTTTCTCCTTCAGGCCAGGTGTGCAAGTGGCTCCTGGCCAATGCCAGCCCTGAGTCTCTCACCTTCTCCTCTTTATTCTCTGTAATTCTGCAACCCCCTTTGTTCTCTTCTCTTAGACCTTTAAAGGGTGCTCCTTCCCCTCCGCATTGAAATCCTGCCATTCTCTCACACTGCAGGGGTATCTAGCTAATTCCCCATGCACAACACCGCTGTTACCCTTATCCATTACATTCCTTGCCCACTGCTGTAGGCTTCAGTGTGACTCAGCTTTAGCTGCTACCTCCACTGCCTGGAAACCTGGTGGAGGGAAGCATTCTTTCTGGAGCTGCTGCTTAGCTCACACTGCTTCTTTGGTTCTAGAAGGATAGTTATTTTGTACTTCCAGGATCACTGACTACTCTGATGAGGAGCTTCTTCCAAATTCCTGTGATACTGGGAACAAGAAGATACTCTACCAGGCCATCAGCTGTTTTCATGAATACTGAAGTAGTACTCTGACGAGATACCTGTTCATCAAGTCTCTGCTGCAAAGCACCCTTCCCTGTCTGTGACAACCTCCCAAAAATTGTGGCTTAACATACCTGCCATTTTATTATCCTCCATGATTCTATGGGCCAGTAATTTGGGCTGTGCTCTGCCGGGTGGTTGTTCTGCTAGTACCACCTGGAGCCACTCATGGCTTTTGGCAGCTGGTGGGTTGGCTGGGGACTGGTTGACATATGGGGCCTTGGATGAGATGATTCCTCTCTGCTCCATGATTTCATCCTCCAATTATGATGTGGACTTCTTTGTAGAGTGGCCTCAGAGAGGTCCAGGGATTTAGCTCAGTGGTGCCACTACCTGCCTTGTAAGCGCAAGGTCCCAAATCTGATCCCCAGTACAAAAGAAAAAAAAAAGAATAGCCTCAGAGAAGCCAGGGGAAATGATGAGTGTTTTACACACACACACACACACACACACACACACGCATGGCTTGTATAACACACACACACATATATTCTATATAATTGTCCCTTGGTATTCAAAAGAGATTGGTTTTAGGATGCCTCCCCCAAATCCATGGATGCTTAAGTCTCTTATAATTCCTTGTATAAAATAGCATATAACCTAGGCAAATCCCCCTGTGTACTGTAAATTATCTATAGATGACATAATACCTACTACAATGAAAGTACCATGTAAGTAACTGTTACAGTGTATTGTTTAGGAAATAATTACAAGAAAAAATTCTGTCCATATTCAGTTTGGATACAACCCCCCCAATTTGCAGCCTACAGTTGGTTGAATCTATGGATCAGAACCTACAGATACAGGAGGGCCAAGTGCAACAAGCACTGTTGTGTGCTTTCTACATACAGTTATCATTTAACCCAGTAAGGTTGGTTTTATTATGATCTCCTCTTTACTGAGAGAGCAATGGAGACACAGGGAAGTCAAGTAATTTAAAGTTAGGTAACAAGGTAACAACTCTCCTTGGTGTCTTTTCTGACTTCTTCCCACTCCCAACCTTGTCTGGCTAAGATGCATTGTTTCATGCTAATTGTCATAGCACTTTCTATACTAAACTGTGTGCTAAAATCTTGGTTCCAAGCTGATTGGCCTTTTGGGAAAGTGATTGGATTATGAGAACTGTAACTTCATTGATTGGATTAATCCAATGATGAGGTAATAATTTGATGGCATTATTGGAAGATGATGGAAATGGAAGGTGGGGCCTACATGAAAGGAATTGATCATGGGAGCATAAGCTTGGCGACTGTGTCTGATGCCCCATCACTTCCTCTCTGGCTCTCTCACTTGGTTTCTATGAGGTGAGCAGCTTTCCTGCACCATGCCCTACCACCATGATGTTTCTGCCTTGCCACAGGCCTAAAAGCAATGGATCCAGCTGACCACAGAATAAAACCCCTGAAACTAAGCCAGGGATGTAGCTCAGTGGTGCTGTATCTGCCTGACAAACACAAGGTCCGGAGTTCAATCACTGGTACTGAAAAAGAAAGAAAAGAAAGAAAGAGAAAACATAAAACCCCTGAAACTGTGAGCCAAAATAAATTTCTCCTCCTTAAAGATGATTTATGTTGGGCATTTTCTCATAGTGATGAAAAGTTGACTAATATACCTAGCCTCTGGTATTTTGTTATAGTAATAAAAAACTGACTAATCTAGGGCCTAAAACTTCTGCCTCTTAAATACAGAAAATATTGCCTGTGGAGGGAAAAGGCAGGCTGATGCTGATGCCAATCTTTACTAGTGTTTCAAGAGCACAATGAAACTCTCATCAGAAATCCAGTGATGGTGGCTGGTGTTACAGCCCTCAAAGGTCACAATTACATAAGATTCTTCTATTTTGGAAAAGAGGCAAGGAAGGGAAATAGAAGGTCAGATCCCCAAGGCATCAGGTTGAGGAAGTTGGCAGTGAACATTTTCTGGGGCCCACTGTCCCAGGGCCATGAATACAGGCACAAAGTTAAATCAGATATAGCTTCTGCTCTCAATGAGTGCATGATCCCATGGCATAGGTTAGTGTAGAAAGTGCGTTGGAGCCAGCCAACTATAGACTGAAATGTGATCCAAAGTAAACCTCTCCTGGGCCACAGATTGGCTCAATGATTCTGGACCTGCTTGGCAAGCACAAGGTCCTAAGTTTGATTCCTAGTACCAATTAAAAAAACAGAAAGAAAGAAAGAGAAGTAAATCTCTCCTCCTTTAAATTGTGGGTGTCAGGTACCGTGTCGCAGAAGAGAAAGTAACTAAGACACTAAATGATTTAATGGTTTTTGGACCCAGGTCCTTCTCAGTGAACTACACTACATCC